CCCCCCCCCATCCTCCGCCTTCGCCACCTCCTCCTCCTCCTCCTCGCGTCCTCCTCGAGTCGTATTCCGCGAGCGCGCATTCGTAGCGCTAAATATGGCCGCGTCTCTGAGTTTCGCAAGCTGAAATAACATTGTAGCTGACTGTGTCCCAACGGAGACAAATAAGGCTGAAAATCGGACCGGCTCGGCGTTTGAACGCGCGCGGTCAGTATCTTCAGCCGACCCTTCGTATCGATAACGCGCGGTTTCGATAAGATGTGAAGCATCGAGTTTGCGGATGAAGGTCCCAATTCTGTTTCCAAGAAAAAGAGGCTTGCACTGCGAGCAAAGGAGATGGCCAATTTCACTGAAATTATAATTGTTCCAGTGCTAACCTAAGTTAAACCTAGATTCTAGCCCTAACCTTTGGTTGTTTCAGCAGAAAGGTGCACGGAAGAAAAACAGTTTGGTCGGATCGACTAAATTTCTGGTGATTTGCAAACACGAAACCTCTTCTACGCAATATATGATTGGTGATTAGAAGAGATAATTGAGATTAAGCAGTCGAAAAGAGAGATGTCACGAGAAAATAGCGTTTTGAGGAGAATTTATTTGACCCCGCATTGTGCTTCGTTGCAGCGCGCGTTGCATTCCCCGGCAGCCCATGAAATATTAAAACAGGTGACACGAACGCGCACCTTTGTCGATCGCGGTCCTGGCCGCGTGATACGAATTGATAGTTCCGCAACGATGATGCATTCATTCGCCGTAGTCTAATTATGCCACTGATGCGCGGCGGTGACGCCACGCGCACGTCCACGAGGACGAGGAGAAGGAGGGGGAGGAAAGTTTATTCGCGAAGAAGCGTCGTCGTAACGCATTGCCCGCGCACGATTTACGATTCGCTAATTGCGAGAGTCCGATATTGCGGGAACGGCCACCAACTGACTAGTTCGCGAGCGCAATTTACGACGGCTGAAATAATTCGAGCATGTTGAGAACGAGTAAAACGGTTTTGTACTCGGAGTAGTTTAAAACGCAAAAGTAAACGACCCGCTGGAAATCGTGCAAGTGAATAATCGGAGAGTAAATATAGAGAGAACGTGCGTATGTAATATGGAGAGGAGATCGGAACTAGTTGACAAAATCGATTATTTCTGTTGTTTCCTAATTACAGAATTAAGGCCCGTCTATATAGAACGCAAAACGCAATTCGCAAGCTTGTCGCGATAGCCAATCAGAAGTGTCAGTGGTCACCTCTGACGCTTCTGATTGGCTGTCGCGACAAGCTTGCGAATTGCGTTTTGCGTCCTATATAGACGGGCCTTTACAGAAGCAAGCAAGTTTTTTAAACATATGTTACAAAGATGGCTTTGAAATTTCTGTTTGCTTGATTCTGAAATCTGATGAAGTAGAAATAATTGATTTCGTCAACTTACCCCGGCAGCCCCGGTCTCCTCTACATAGTACGTACACACAATGCAAATAATGAATCGCGGAATACGCGTTTCAATATTATATCTCACAGGGGAGAGCCGAGATCGGCGAGATTCGCCGTCTTATATCTACGCGAAATGTTCACGGGATTCAGCAAATATCCGGACTAGGCGCACGTAAACGAGTCGTAAAGAAAATAAATTAGACCACAGTCACTTCGTGGCCGATACGTATCGCGGATGTTTTTCTTCGCTCAGCGACAAATTTACCGCATATTTCGAAGATTCCTTTCATCCCCGGAATATTCCGACGGTCGAAGTGTCGCGATTGGCCAAAGAGGAAAAACGGGCCGTGTACACATGAATACGCGGTAATAACAATAATATAAATCGCAAAAACAACTGACGTAAGGCGACGGAACGTAAGGCGATGACGCAAGCCTGCGTTGCACCTCCTCGTTCTGGTCGATGTATCGTTTCAGCTCGCGCGATCGAGAACTGGAATACGAAACGTCGAACTCCCTCAAACCACTTCGGTCCTCCGGTTCTCAGGTACACGCGTGAATTTGTCAGCAACTTTTAGTTATTAGTTTCCTTTATTCGACTTCTAAGGATTACATCTCTTATAAATGGATCACAGCGGCATATTTGTCACATAGGAAATGTGAGGAGATATGAAAAGAATTATCAAAAGAAGGCTGAAGTCTTATAAGCTTTTAGTCTCGTTTTGCGCCACTCGAAATTTGAAATTATTTTTTGACAAAATTGCAGCTATTGATGGATAGATTATTAACAAATTTCAATGTGATGCGGCATTTGGCACAAAAAAGTTTCGCACTAAAATATTAAATTGCATTTCATTTTTTTTTAATTATTGTGTTTCTTTTAACTCGTAGCAAGTGCAAATTATAGATATATTTTGGATTCAGTTTCTCTAAATTTTTCGAAGAAAACAATAAAAAAGATCTAGATATGTTCATTTGAAAAGAAAAAACCTCCCCGGGGTTGTTTCGAGTCACCGTCGAAGGGGATGAATGTAACGTGAAAATCTGAGTATCTTTTAGTGAATTCACTGTTGCATCATTATGGGAGAGGAATTACCAATTACTAATTGTTATACAATGTAAATTTAATAACAAATATGCAGTAATTTGCTTCACAAATGCAATGAGAGACAAAATTGTAGAATTTCCCTTATCGATTGTTACGACGATTATGGTCAATCCCTCCGGCTCGCTCACCCTCTGAACGAGGGCGCGAGAAAGAAAATCACGTCGCGATCAACCAACTCGATCGGCCATCGCGCCTTCCTCGGGGTGTGCGATAGACTCGTTCTTTCGAACGGGAATACTAAGTGGGAGGATATTTATAGACTCGTTTGTTGCGCGCAAGGAGACATTCCTCGTGGTGGCGAGGCGGAGGAGCCCGCGGCGGGAAATCGACTTGAAATCGACTCGGAGGGCCCTGACGTGTCTCGCTTTTGGGGAACGCGGCGGATGCGCTTCCGGCACGACTGTCGTATATACTTCGAGTATACTTCTGGACACGAAGTTCGGGGGAGATAACGTTGTTGGTACCGGAATTGGCGCGGTATTTTCGAGTGGCGTTGCCTCTCTCTCTCTCTCTCTCTTTCTCTCTCTGTCTCTCCTGCGTCTCTATGTCTCCCTCGCACTTTGTGCCTTTCTCTCTTCCTCTCTCTAATTTATATTTTTTCCTTTTTCGTCCATCACACAACCGCATACATACACGCACGCACGCACACACAAAATTACAGGCATACCACACACGCATACATGCGCACACACAGATACACACACACATTTGAGCGGCTCTCTCACGAACGGTTCAACGAACGAGAGAGCGCAGCGCTTGCGCGCCGCGGCGAGCGCCGTAATTGTCGCTACGCTGCGAAACTAGAAGGCTCCGCTCGCCTTCTCTTAGAATTTTAGCCAGCCGATGGTAGCTAGGTGCCCCTTCCCCCTCCTCCTCTTCCTTCCCTCAGTATACTCCCGCGCCACGAGGACGGAGAGAAATCTCGACGACGAGCGCGTCTCTCAGAGAGGAGTTTCTCCCTTTTCTGTTCTCTCTCTCTCTCTCTCTCTCTCTCTCTCTCTCTCGTTCACAGTGAGGGCACAAAATTATTGATCGGCCTTCGCCTGGGTATTGATTCGCCGTTAGTGCGAAGTTATTTCGCGGCGCATTTTGTGCTAAATGTGCGACTCGCCCCCTCTATCCCCCCTTGTTTCCCGAACGTTGTTATTAGACACAGCATACTACTCGACGATTTCACGACGGTGATTCGATCGATGGGAAGAATCGTACGGCGCTTTTCCGCAGAGGGGAAAAGGCGGAGGGGACCCTCCGATCGTTCGGAGAATTTCGACGGTCGAAGAATATGGAACCCACGAGCCACCGCTCGCCCTCGCGCAGGAAAGACAAACGCGGCCGTGCTTTAAATTTGAGCTCGTACACTCACACGGCGAAGGGAGACATCCACCGACGGCGGATTCTCCCGCGCGATTATTGATCAGCGTACGCGCGAGTATTGATCCGCCGTTATTACGCGAAGTTATTTCGCGCCGCGTTTAGCGCTAAATGCAACTCCCCCTCCCCCTGCCGCCCCGTGTCCGAGTTCCGTTATTACACATGACAGATGCATTCAAATTGAATACAAGGTGACAAGAATCAAACGGCAGCTGCGAAACCGACGAAGCAAGGGAGGAAAGGAGGGATGGAGGAAGGGAGGGAGTGAGAGGGGGTCTTATACCTTCTGTCGGAATTTCAGCAGCTGTGAAGGTGGAACCTTGAAACCCTCAAGTCGCCCTTGACGTTCGTCTTTTCCGTGAGGAAATAAAATA